CATTTAATGTAACCTTGATTTATAAAATAATAACTTTTAGTTAAAAGAAAATATAAATCAAAAATACAACAAACATTATTATTTTGTTTATTATCTTGATAAAGAAAATAAAATGTCTCTTTTGAGGGAGGTCTTCTGAGACCAGGGTCAAAGACAGATGGAAATGTTTATGCCCCCTCGGGGTGACCCCTACAACCAAGTCCTTTATTATTTCATCCACTGTTCACTGTGAAGAAATTTCCCAGCAGTCTGGAAACGGTTGTCTTGTTTAGACCTGCATTTAATTAGCTGCTTACATGAAAGCTATCTAAGCTTGGCTATCTGATCAACTGTCTTAATCCCTTTTCGTCGGGGCAATTATTTTACGCTAGAGTCTGTGCTGGTTTAAGTGAATTACTTAATCCTGGGCTTAGAGACTTAGCACCATCTCTTTGCCTCCTGTTGCCTCACCTCCCGTAACCGGCTCTCCAGCTCCAGCAGCCGGGTCCTCCTGGTTTGTTCCTGCTGACTTAGTTTCTCTAAATGCTCCTCTAACTTGGCATTCTGGGCCTCGAGCTTGCCCGCTTGAGACTCCAAATAAAACTTTTGCTGCCGAAGTTCTGAGATCATCTCCTCTTGGGCTTTCCTGGCAAAACAAAAGTTACAGTTATATTGTCTGCTCTGTTCAGAGGGAGCCATCTTTTAAAAAAAGCTCACCAGAAAATAAGATAAGATATAATTAACACATCTACATAGTTTGAATGTTAATTTATTTCAATAAAGGAAATCATTTAAACTGAGCTAGCAATATTTAAGGTTTCACTAACAAACATGAGTTTTAGTCAGTTAAAACTGCATTTCCTCTATTTATAGCAAGAGATAACTCAGCTTACATTCAGGAAAGACACATCAGCCACAGCGCGTTTGGAAGTAAAAGCAACTTAATGAAGCAATTAAGTCCAAACGTGCTCCAGGACTCTTAAAGCAAAGAATTATGCAAGCAGGGGGTTTCATTCGCTCACATATTCTTCTGGGTGTAGATGCTGCTGTTAGCGGCCAGCTTGTTAGCCTCGGACAGCTCAGCGATGCGCTGCTCCAGATTCTTCATCTTTGAATCCATAGCATTGATGGTCTGGTGGAGACGCAACAACATACTGCACATCAGACACATTTCTTATCAATTTATCACTAAATATTTAAGGAGACTTTACAGATGTTTAAGCAGCAGCATTTTCATAAAAATAAACGGCTACAGGTCAGCTAAATACAATAAGAATCAGCACAAGAAATGAAAAGCTTCTTAACTGCCTCAGTCTAACCAGATTACAACTTAAGATCAGGCTGTATTGAGTAACGAGATGCATCCTGCAAATTAACTCGTCTTCCTTAATTCATCCCAATACAGCTGAACCGACATGAGAGTTCAAAGTGTTAACATGCAAGTGCAAAAAACAGCTTTGAGTTTTGTTTCTTACTGCTTTCTGTTCACTGATGAGTTTGCAGTTCTCCCTGGACTCCTCCTCCTGCTGCGCCCTTTTCACCTCGAGGCTCTCCTTCTCAGCCATGTCCGTCTTCATCTGGGCTTCCAGCACCTGGATCGGTCAGAACCGGTCCACATGAGACTCGACCGATTCAATTTGACAAACTCACAGCTGGGCTGTAACAGTAATCAGCTACAAGATAAAGCTGCGTTCCTAATGATGTGGTTGTAAATGTGTAAACTGAGGTGGAAACTTTAATTAGAACAGAGTCAATTCTCAGTAAAACAACCAACTTTTCAGACGGTAAAAGTGTAACACAATGTGTTGTTGACGGGTATTTTTGTAAAGGTTATTAATGTTTTTTTTTTTTTAAAAACATTTCACTGATTGAAAATAATTTACTCTAAAACTTCACTTACAAATGGATTTACATGACTTCTCTTTAGTAATTTGCAGTAACCTCTCWTGTTGCAGCTCTATATTCCAAAATAACATTTGTTCAAATTGTCAAGACTAAAKAGTTATATTAAACTGACCAACCTTGATCTTATCTTCGAAAAGCCTCTCCTTTTGAACAAGCTGGGTTTCCATCCTCTGAGCTGTAGACTGGGCCTCCCTCAGGTTCTCTTCCAGTTCCTGAAGAAATTGAAAAGCATTGTTGACAGTAAATAAGAAACAGGTCGACTCTCACAGCAAAAAAAAAGGTCAATTATAAAAAGAAACTTGCATTGAAAAGCTGGAAATCCACAAGCTGACAGTAGCGACGCCGGCTCATGTTGATGGTGGTAAAAAACATGCAAGTAAGTGGACTACCATATGAAATGTGTCAGGCCGTGCTCTCTAAGGAGGAACATGTGTGTTTGTTCTTAAATGACTGGGAGGACAGCTTTAATTCTAGCCTCAAATGAGTGGAAGTAGTGAATGCTGGGTAATGGAGAAATTAGGGGTGGAGAGCGCAGAGTATTAGTGAGCCTTATCTGTAGCTCTCTCACCAGGATCTTTTCAGCCATCTGCTGGATCTGCTGGGATTTGGTCTGAATGTCATCTTTCAGCTTATTCTCCCGCCGCTCAACCATCTCCAGCCTCTTTACCTGGTTTTCTAGGGTCTTCCGACCCTCCTGCTTGCACAACAAAAACAACAGAAGATTAACTGCACATAAAGGTTTTCAGGAGTGAATTTGTCGGGGGCGTCTGTCCACTGTAAAAAAAAACAAAAAACTGAGCAAAGAAACTGTTGCAGGTTGTTCAYTGATGTGTATTTATTTAGTCTGGTACCTCCGTCTCTCTTAGACGGCGCTTTAAAGTGTCGCTGGAGTCCGTTTTCCCTCGCAGGCGCTCCAGATCTCGTTCCAGCCGCTCCTTGGCCTGTCGGACGTTCTGCAGCAGCTCAGTGGCTTCTGTGCTCGCTTTGACTGCCTGAGGGAAATTCAGAAGGTCAAAGGCCGTTAATGGGTCCCAAGACAAAAATCTCCAGTGACAGCACAATACATTAGATGGCACAAAAKAGCTTGTTTTTTTACTGATAACCAGTAACATTTGTATCAATACGCCAAAAACTACTGAAATTAAAGTTAAAAAATTAAAGCTACAGAATATATGAGTGAAAAGCATTATGTACCTTGGACAGTTTGTCCTGGAGTTCTTGMATTTTCACTTGTTGTTCAGAGTTAGTCTAAAAAACAAAACAAAATAAAACTGATCCGTTTCATCAAACTAAACAGCTTTCTGTTCTGCAGAGAAAGTGACAGGTATCTGACGTCTCCTTTACCTTCTCAAGCTTGGAGAGAAGCTCCTCCACCTCAGCTTTCCCCTGCTCTTTAGCCTGAAAATAATCAAGAACATTTTGGAAAAGCTGCCCACAAGTGGCAGGAACACAGAAATCTTCCAAACCATGTTAACCATTGTGAATGCAAACACTTGTAGAGTTTAGAGCCACATAACTACTGAATGCTAAAAAAGTAGCAGACACTTTATTATACAATAGTGAGTATTTCAAGCATGACTCACAACATACTGAATCTGTTTAGGTTTTTTTTGCATTAAATGAAGTATAAATTTGAACCATCACATCGAACTAATCAATCTACGTAAGTCAAGCAGCTTACTGAGATAATAAGCAGTTCGTGAACTGGTAGAAAAAAATTGCAATACTTGGATTTTGTCAAAATATAAAAAATAAATACCTTAACTATGAAAAATTAAATTTAATAAAAAATGTTTTGAATGACTTTGAACAAAAAAGCTCCACATTTTTTCTCCTCTCCCTGCACTCGTAAAGCTACAGCTGGGAAATCCCAATACGGTTTGAGAGGTTTCCTCTTTCAAGAGACATCAAGAAATCCTCATTAGAATGTGGTAAAAAMAAGATTCAGACCCATTCTGCTCAGGTCATCCTGATTAGCAAGACCGATCAAGCCATATCTCTAAAGCTCATTTCGGGATGACCCAGGTATCAAAATGTCACGTAAAAAGCCAGGAATCTGAAAATGTGCTTAATTTACTTCAACCAAACTGGACTTAATCCCTGATTTGATGTCATGGGTCATAAAACTACACGGAGCAAAATTACCTTTTGGATTCTCTGCTGATATTCCACAGCTTTTCGTTTGAGCTCCTCGCTGGTTTGTCTGGAGTCTCGGAGCTCCGCTTCATAGAGGTCACTGCGGCGCCGCGCGGCCGACAGGTCCTCCTCCAGCTGCCTGATGGTCACCTGCATCTCCTCCAGCTGGGCGTGGTACTCCTGAGGTCACCGGCGTTAACAGGGAGGTCAGCAAACAGTGACAACATTTTTGAAAAACAATGTATCTGAAAGTAGCTCATTTGATTTTTATCCAGGGTTCCTACAGTTTAAGACAAGTTAAATTTAAGACTTTTTTATGCCAAGTGAAATTAAATTTAAGACCAATTTCACAATAAACCCTAATGACAAAAAAATAAAAATTGTGGCAGAAACTCATGAACCAAAGTATTTTTGGTTGAAGTATTCAAATATTTCTAATAGACCAATTGTTTTTATCCATATCTAACTGCTTTTTCATAAACATAGCAAAAACATTCTTAGCAGTCAGTTTTAAACTTAATTTAATTTCTGGAAATCCTCTAACAACCCAAAATTTGGAGTTTTAGGACCCACAGTGGGGTCTCAACCCCAATTTGCTGTAYATAAAACCTTAAAGTGCCTGTGACATTAGTTTTTTGTAAGAAATATGAATGCATTTTTGGAAAGACAACATTAACGTATTACAAAACAAATTTCACATTGCTCAGATGGACATTTGTTGAGATATTTGCTTGTGAAATAACAGGAAGTGATGTTAAAGGGGAATGTCTGCATGTGAATATTATAAAAATAATATTTTTTACCAGTTATTTTAATATTTGAAATGAATAACAATCATCCTATGTACAATGTGTTAACATTTTTAAGACTTCTGAAAGATTGATTTAAGACATTTTAAGGCTAATTAAGGCCTTATTTTTGGATTGATGAATTCAATGGGCCTCATGCAAGAACATGTTCGTATTCTTATCCTAAATTTCTC